AGGGGTTGGCCTCGCACTGGAGCGGCCGTCGGGTTTCCGGGCGCAACCACCGGCAACGGTGTCACTGGAGCGGCCGTCGGGTTTCCCGGCGCGACCACCGGCGACGGGGTCGGCCTCAGCACTGGAGCGGCCGTCGGATTTCCCGGTGCGACCACCGGCGACGGTGTCGGCCTCAGCGCTGGAGCGGCCGTCGGGTTTCCGGGCGCGACCACCGGCGACGGGGTCGGACTCGGCACAGGAGCGGCCACGGGCGGGGACGAGCACCCACACGCGCGCTGGCAAGCGTCGTAGCCGACCGAGCCGTCGTCACCAACGACAACGCAGCGATTCTCAGGAAACTCGGCGACCCACGGACAGTTCTTCGACGGCGTTCCTTTCTTGTACCAAGACGCGCTGTCAACGCAGGGCGTAGTTGGACGCGATGTCGGCACGATGACGGGTGAAGTGGTCGGGTTCCCAGGCACCACCGTCGGGGACGGAGTCGGCTGATGGACCGGCGCTTGCGTCGGAGATACTGGAGCGGCCGTGGGCGGGGACGAGCACCCGCACGCGCGCTGGCAGGCCTCGTAGCCGACCGAGCCGTCGTCACCAACGACAGCGCAGCGGTCCTCTGGGAACCCGGCGACCCACGGACAGTCCTTCGACGGCTTTCCTTTCTTGTACCAAGACGCGCTGTCATCACACGCCGCCGTCGGTCGAGGAGTAGCAGGCTGCGGTGTAGGAGACGGATTCAGCGGCGCGGAAGGCGGCGGTGTCGGAGGCCCGATCGTAGTCGTAGAGATAGTGGCCGCCGAGACGCGAATCGTGGTGAGGTTCCTGAACGCTGCCGCGAGGTCAGCGCTCTCGGCGGCGGCAGCAATGGCGCTGTCCATGGAGTCGATCGTCGCCGCGTCGATGTTCGACGCCACGTTTTCCGCAGCCGCGTTCTCCGCAACCGCCACGGTGTAGATCATTTCGAATGACGACGAGGCCTCATCGAGGCGTCGCCGGGCTCCGGACGAGAAGTCGAGCGCGAGCGAGTCGTCGTCCTCGACGCCAGCGACGTCCGCCAGCGCCACACGAAAGACGCCCTCGTTCGCCGCCGCGCGCTCAGCGGTCATGCCCGCAAAAGAGGCGCTGCCTTTCACCTCGAATGTGTCTCCGTTGGTCGCCACGATGGTGGGATGGAGCGTTGGAATCAACGACGGCGCGCTCGTCGTGGGCGAGGCCGTTGTCGGGACGTTTGTCGACGGCGCGCGCGTCGTTGGCACCATTGTAGTCGGCACCATCGTCGGCGCGGGCGTGTACGAGACCTGGAATTCGATGGAATCCGTCACGGAGGCGTCGCCATCGCACGTGAGCGTCAGCGTGTACTCGTTTACCGTCGCGTCGCCGGAAACCACCTGCGTCACCTGGCCGTCGTTGTCCAAGATGTCTGCCGTCTGGACGACGTTGCCGTCTGGATCTGTGAAGAGGGCGGTCAAGGTCGCACAGGCGCTCGAGTCGCCGCGGTACACCCAGAGAAGCTCGCATTCGACGCCGTGGACGCACGTCGAACTCGGTGCCAATGCCTGAGATTTGCAAGAACGAGGCCGTGGGCACGATCGTCGGAAGAGCGCTCGGAGACGGCGACGGCGGTGCGGACGGGGTCGCGCTCGGAGGAGCGGACGGCGTGGCGCTCGGAGCAGAGGACGGCGCGGCGGACGGCGTCGCGCTCGGAGAAGGCGACGGAGCGGCGGACGGCGTCGCGCTCGGGGATGGGGACGGCGCCGTGCTCGGGCATGGGGACGGCCCCGTGCTCGGCAGAGCCGACGGCACCGCGCTGGGCCAGCTGCTGGACGGCATCATCGTCGGCGCGGACGAGTACGACACCTGGAAATCGATGGAGTCCGTCACGGAGGCGTCGCCATCGCACGTGAGCGTCAGCGTGTACTCGCTCACCGTCGCGTCGCCGGAAACCACCTGCGTCACCTGGCCGTCGTTGTCCAAGATGTCTGCCGTCTGGACGACGTTGCCGTCTGGATCTGTGAAGAGGGCGGTCAAGGTCGCACAGGCGCTCGAGTCGCCGCGGTACACCCAGAGGAGCTCGCATTCGACGTCGTGGACGCACGTCGACTCGGTGCCCATACTCGTGATCTCGATGAACGAAGCCGTCGGCACGATCGTCGGAAGAGCGCTCGGCGAGGCGCTCGGGGACGCCGACGGCGCCGCGGACGGCAGGGGCGACGGTCCGGCGCTCGGCAAGGCGCTCGGGGACGCCGACGGCGCCGCGGACGGCGAAGAGCTCGGAAACGAGGACGGCGCCGGGCTCGGCGAGGGCGACGGCGCGGCGGACGGCGCCGAGCTCGGAAACGAGGACGGCGCCGCGCTTGGCGAGGGCGACGGCGCGGCGGACGGCGCCGAGCTCGGGAATGGGGACGGCGCCGCGCTCGGAGAGGGCGAAGGCGCGGCGGACGGCGCCGAGCTCGGGGACGAGGAGGGCGCCGCGCTCGGAGAAGGCGACGGCGCGGCGGACGGCGCCGAGCTCGGGGACGAGGCGGGCGCCGCGCTCGGAGAGGTCGACGGCGCGGCGGACGGCGTCGAGCTCGGGGACGAGGAGGGCGCCGCGCTCGGAGAGGGCGACGGCGCGGCGGACGGCGTCGAGCTCGGGGACGAGGAGGGCGCCGCGCTCGGAGAGGTCGACGGCGCGGCGGACGGCGTCGAGCTCGGGGAGGAGCTCGGAAAAGAGGACGGAGTCGCGGACGGCGTGGCTGAGGGTGTCGCGGTCGGGGTCAGCGTTGGCGTCGGCGTCGACCCGTAGAGGACCTGGATGGACGCCGCGTCGAGCGCGCTCGAGTAGACGTAGACATCGTCGATGGAGCCGTCGAGGTAGTCCCCCCCTGTCCATTGCCCGAGGCGGAGCGCGTAGTCCGAGCCCGTGTTCACCGCCACGGTCGCCGTCGCCGCCTGCGACCCGTCGAAGTAGAGGTACCATGCCGACCCGTCGTAGGTCAGGCAGTAGTGGTGCCAACCGCCGTCGTCGGACCCCGACAGCGCGACGTCCGTGTCGGCGCCCCAGAGCTGGACTTTGAGACTCGCGCTCGTGCCATGCACCTGGAGCGCAAAGTTCTCATAATTTGAGTAGGACCCGTAGTCGAAGAGCCCCCCGTCGCTGCTGAAGGAATCGATCGCCGCCCACAAGCACACGGTCCGCGAACTACTCCCTTGGATGTCCGCCGTCACGGCCGAAGGAAGCTCGACGTAGTCGTCCGTCCCGTCGAAGGACAGCGCGCCGCTGACCCCGTCGCGGCCCGTCGTCGCCGTCGCGCCGCTGATGGTGCCGTCGAGGCTGCTGTCGCTGTCCTCGGCGGCCGTGCCGTCGTCGAAGGAGTAGTACGCGACCAGTGTGGAGTGGGACACGTGCGTCGGCAGCGGCGTCACCGTCGGCGCGGCCGTGACGGCGGCGTAGAGGACCTGGATCGAGGCCGCGTCGAGCGCGCTCGAGTAGACGTAGACCTCGTCGATGGAGCCGTCGAGGTAGCCGCTCAAGCCTCCCGAGTTGCGCACTCCGAGCGTCAATGAGTTGTCGGAGCCGGTGTCCAGGGCCACGGTCTCGGTGTGCACCACCGTCCCGTCGAAGTAGAACACCCAGTCCGTTCCGTCGTACGTGTGGCAGTACTGGTGCCAGTCGCCGTCGTCGGAGCCGGATGCCGCGATGTCTCGGGAGTCGTAGCCCGACCCGTACCCGAGTAGGATAAACTCCCCGGCCGTCGACTCCGTCATGAAGCCGAACCGCTCCCCTGACTCATTCGAGTCGTACGAGAACAGCGTTCCGGTGCCCCACTCCTCGAGGCGCGCCCACAGGCACACCGTGCGCGCGGCGCTCCCGAGGATGTCCGCCGTCACGGCCGAAGGAAACTCGACGTAGTCGTCCGTCCCGTCGAAGGACAGCGCGCCGCCGACCCCGTACTGCCCCGTCGTCGCCGTCGCGCCGCTGATGGTGCCGTCGAGGCTGCTGTCGCTGTCCTCGGCGGCCGTGCCGTCGTCGAAGGAGTAGTACGCGACCAGTGTGGAGTGGGACACGTGCGTCGGCAGCGGCGTCACCGTCGGCGCGGCCGTGACGGCGGCATAGAGGACCTGGATCGAGGTTTCGTCCAGCGCGCTCGAGTAGACGTAGACCTCGTCGATGGAGCCGTCGAAGTAGCCGGTGTAGTATCCCGAGTAGCGCACTCCGAGCGTCAATGAGTTGTCGGAGCCGGTGTTCAAGGCCATGGTCTCGGTGTGCACCACCGTTCCGTCGAAGTAGACCACCCAGTCCGTTCCGTCGTACGTGTGGCAGTAGTGGTGCCAGTCGCCGTCATCGGATCCAGATACCGCGATGTTTTTGATGTCGTAGCTCGATCCGTACCCGTTCAACTTAAACTCCCCGCTCGTCGACTCCGTCTGGGCGCTGAACCGCCCCCCTGAATCATTCGAGTCGTACGAGAACAGCGTGCCGCTGCCCCACTCCTCGAGGCGCGCCCACAGGCACACGGTGCGCGCGCTGCTCCCGAGGATGTCCGCCGTCACGGCCGAAGGAAACTCGACGTAGTCGTCCGTGCCGTCGA